GTTAAGATAACTCAAACATATCCAGGGTCTGTTGAACTGGCTTCAGGGCACAGGTCGCTGCATAGCAGGTGCCTTAAATAACCCCTTATTTTATAGTGAGATGTATTTTTATGTTCATATCATAGTGATTTCAATGCCACCCCAAAATGATCACTGGTAACATCCTGGCCACCCCACTGAAAATGTCCTGGCAGCGCTAATGTCAAAGACACAAATATTATACATTATATTTTTATTTTACCAGGATGCAGTGATACAAATATTTGGGAAGGCTTAGCCTTCCCTAGCCTACAGTACCCGCCGCCCCTGCTCCTTGTGTACTTGCACAGCCAGCCAGTCATATTTTGGCATTAAGTGGGGTGCTGCTCTGAGGTTTTGAGCGATATTACCTAGGTATTCCAGAGCCATACACTGTCTTGAGATCTTATCCATTGTATCTTTGTCTTGTGATTTTTGACTAAAAGGGCAAAAGGCTAGACCTACTTTGGTTGAACTATGTGGCTGCGTTCCTGCTTTTGACAAATAGGTGTGCGATTTGACATGCCAGATTGACTGAAAATTCGGAATATTGGTCATGTTGGTAGGATTGGGTAGGCGTGGTGTTACTTGTTGGTACGTGGGTTGGGGGGGCCCATGAGCGCTCAGTGCCCAGGGGCCCCTGGAGGTACTAATCCAGCCTTGGTTCTTTTTATCGTTCAATCGTTGGTCCGCACTCACTGCCTGCCAAAATCCACTCGCCTTTTAAAAAGTTTGATTTTGTTCCCTAAACGTATTCTGTGAAGACCCGCCCCTACACTGATTGGTAGGTTTCAGCAAGAGGAGTGAGATGGGGTGGGTCTTAATGGAATACGCGAGAGAGAGAAGTCATAACAAGTGGTACAGGACAGGTAGACGACGTGTTTTTCAGATGGAAAATGAGCCAAACACGAAAACGCAGCAGCATTTGGATGCACTTCAACCAAACCCATGCAGTGATAAAGCGCACCATTTGTAAAGGCAACATATCCTTTAAAGCAGGGTCAACAAATAATCTCCATCGCCACTTAAAAACACAGTATCTAATATTAAGAGTTGCGTGAATTTCATTCAAGGCAAGGCAACTTTATTTACTTAACACATACTGTACAGAGGCTAAATTCAAAGTAGGATAGTACATTCACTGACATGAATGTCAGTGTCAGTGAAAAAAACAGCTCTTTTGAACGGCTCTTTGAAAGGAACGGAGCGATAAGATCCGGCTCCCTTCAAAGAGCCATCATTTCCATCACTAGTTCAAATGAAGCCAGTGGCGGCGCCAGGGTATAGCTGGGGTAGGCTACAGCCATACCAAGAAATGGCTTAGCCCCACCTTAGCTCCACCATGAAAAATGATGTTAAAGTAAGCAAATTCAATTAAATAATAAGCAAAATGTTGACATGGATTGCGAAAATATACGGGTCGTGTCCACAACACACAAACTGATCCTGCTGTAACAACAAGTGCACGTTACTGATGCAATATGGTTGAGACCATTCAGGGTTATGCTAGAAGAGGGGTGCAAGGAATAGTCTAAGTAGTGGGGGAGTTTTATACACTAAAGGTGTGAAAATTCTCTGGCGTTATAATATCAGCAGCTCCGAATGCAATTTGAATAGACCTACAGCCAATCAGAGCAACGAAACGTTGGGTCTGCGTCATGCCTTACTGATTGAGATCAATCGGAACCGCCATTCAGTATCCCCATTGGATCTTCAACGTGTACTATCATACGTCACGTTCACAGTGATCCCTTTTTATATACCACAAGACAAATGTGCCGTTTTATTTCATACAGTTCCATTTTGATTGAGACAGGGAAATAATCTAAATCTCACGCGTGGCGTTTCACTGTCAAGGGGGGCGATATAGCGTGTATGTAATTACATTGCAAATAATGACTTGAGCCCCACCACTGTATGGGTTAGCCCTACCATAGATTACCCAACAAAAATACTCTGGCGTCGCCACTGAATGAAGCCCATGATGAAGCCTCATGAGATGAACCCTTTTGCGAACCAATTGGCTGGAAAGCTTCAAAGCTTCATAAGGCTTCATCTCGCCATCACTACTGTTGGCCATAACCACGCCAAAACAATCCACTAACTCTGTTAAGTCCTCACTCTCCTTCACATACTCCGTCTTAGGCCATTCCCCGTCTCTCCCTAGGAACCTCCCTCCTCCACACCCAACCAACCAGACAACACTCTCCCACCCACCCCACAGCCACCGGTCACAATAACCGTCCATCAAAACAGTGGCACGTTCACTGACACTCTGTAAAATGCAAACAAACTATGAACAACAAAACGCATCAGAACATCAACATTATAACCAGTCCGTTACACTTTTCCCCTCCACAAAGTCCCTCGTCCCAGAGGGAATAAACAAAGTCTCTCAGGTGGTTAGGAGATCTGCGGTTTCTCTGCGGCCGTGCCTGGTCTGTGGCAGTGGGAAACAGGCTCACAGTGGGACCCAGAGTAGGGCAAGGGAAACATGGTCCAGATTGTGGGGAACCAGGCCAGGTCCCCGGGTCATGAGAGGGGGGTTGGGAAGAAGAAAGAACAGTGTCCCTAGCCCCCTGCGTCTCACCAACTGATCCTGGTGGTGTCGCTGTACCCCGATAGGGGGCCAACCCGTCCCGGTGAAGAGCAACTATTCTCCCTCTCCGCTGCAGCTGGACCCTGTAGACGACCTCACTCAGTCTCTCCAGAACCCTGCAGGGCCCTTCCCAGTTGCTGTGCAGCTTTGGGCATCTGCCCTTCTTTCTCTGTGGGTTATACACCGAGACCAATTCGCTTGCACTGAAATGCCGTCCTCTAGAATGCACGTGACACGTCGTAGTTCCTCTTCTGCCTCGCCCCTATCCTCTGCAGCTGGCGCCTGGCAAAGTTGTGAGCAGACTGGAGAGGGACACTCCCCCATCGCCATCAATGGGACTACTGTGGAGAGAGTCAGCAGCTTCAGGTTCCTCGGTGTCCACATCACTGAGGGCCTGACATGGACTCTTCACACTACCACCATCACCAAGAAAGCTCGACAGCGGCTCTTCTTCCTCCGCAGGCTGAGGAGGTTCATCATGGACTCCAGGATACTCTGCAACTTCTACAGGTGCACCATAGAGAGTATCCTGACCTTCTACAGGTGCACCATAGAGAGTATCCTGACCTTCTACAGGTGCACCATAGAAAGGATCCTGACCTTCTACAGGTGCACCATAGAGAGTATCCTGACCTTCTACAGGTGCACCATAGAGAGTATCCTGACCTTCTACAGGTGCACCATAGAGAGTATCCTGACTGGCTGCATCACGGCCTGGTACGGCAGCTGCACCGCCCTCAATCGTAAGGCTTTACAGAGGGTGGTGAAAACTGCACAGAACATCATCAGGACGGAGCTGCCATCCATGGAGGATCTTTACTGCCAGCGGCTCAGGAAGAAATCCCTCCGGATCATAAAAGACCCCCCATCACCCCCTGCCACAAACTGTTCTGTCTGTTGCCGTCTGGCAGACGCTACCGCAGCATCCGGACTAAAACCACCAGACTCAGAGACAGTTTCATTCCACAGGCCATAAGACTGTTAAACACCTGAACAGCTGAAGCAAAATCTGTTAAACATCTGAACTGTTGAAACAACATCCAAAATATTCATCTGGCTGCTACTAATAATTTAACTACTTAGAAATTATTTATCTATTTACCAAATATATCATATTCCAATAACTTGCATGTAGACTCTTATTGCACTATTTCACTTTTTTAAACTATTTTTCTTTTTGTATTTACTATTTACTTGCACTATATTTTTCTGTGTTTTGAGTTGCACTGTTAGAGAAGCCTGTGACCTAAGAATTTCATCGGCATAACTAAACTGTAGCTATGTTCGCATGACTAAATAAAGAACCTTGAACCTTGAACACTCTCCCTCCCACCCACCCCACAGCCACCGGTCACAAGAACCGTCCATCAAAACAGTGGCACGTTCTGTAAAATGCAAACAAACTCTGAACAACAAAACGCATCAAACATCAACATTATAACGAGTCCGTTACAATACATTTCCTCACGCTTTTCTTAAAACATTATTTATCTAAAAGCAACTAGATGGATGTAAATTCAGCAGGTTGGTTAACACGTGACGTTTTTTCCGGCATCTAGTGATGACGTTCACGAGTCTTGTCGCCCATTGGTGTGTAGAATTATTTAGACGGTTTGTTGACCAATCACAGGGGCGTCTAAAGAGAAGGAGGCGGGGAAAGAACTACATGGAACAACTCCTTTTGGAGAGGGGTTTTAATCATAGCAATGTATTTATTTATTAATTATACATTTATTTATTTAGCGCATGTATTAAACTGCATGACATCCAGATAATCAAAAATAATAGGACATTTGAAAGGAAAGATCAGGAAGCCTCAAGCTTATACAATGGAGATACCTTCTGATTAAAAAGTAAAACATAAATAGCAACGTTTTCTTACATTAACAGGAATGTTACAAGTTAATTTGATATATAGTGCAATATTTGATTTGTGTATGAATGCAGTAGGGAAGGTGCAATATTTGATTATGTATGAATGCAATAGGGATATATGCAATAGGGAAAGTTCTGTACGTTTCTTGTTTGTGTCTTTGCCATGTGATATGTGATCTCTGTTCTGTATCTATGACTGATTGTCCTAAATGTTTTATGTTTATTATCTTGATGCCCAAGACAAATTTCTCCCAAGGGAGACAATAAAGCTCTATCTAAATATTATATCATTAGAACTTGTATTAAATGCAATTGCACTACACCTATTAGATCAAATCTGACCAATATCTTCATATAACATGAATTCAATTAAAAGATTACATATATTACATTCTACCAAATTGAAGAGCTATTAAAGACATTACTTTGACAAAGATCAACTACTATGACTAATACTTCTTCAAAATACAAAATATGCTTCAACAAATTAAAAAATTAAAAAACACAAACAAAATTTCAGAGAGATATCACAACTTGTTATCATTGGATCATCCCTGTTCCTGCTGCTGAACTCTTGGAGTTATTCTATTTCCGACAGGGCGTACTGGGATTCCACGGAGCTCAGGTGATCCTCGGCAGCCGCTTCAGCCGTCCTGTTCAGACTAAACACAACACAGTCATTAGTGATACAAACACACTTCAGAGTTCATGTTCAGTGTTGCTCCTTGTACAGTATTTATTCACGTATTTATTTATTTATTGAAGGGCTGACCTTGTTTGAACATTCAATCTGAAATATCCAGAGCAGAGATCAAGGGCCAGCTGCTCAGTGTTTCATGTTGTCCTTTTTTTAATAGATACTTGCATTTTATACCTTAATTTTTTCAAAGCTCTGGTTTTTTCTCTTATCTTTTTGTAGTTTTATTTATTTATTTTTTCAACCTTTTAATTGTATTATTCTTGTGAGATTCTGTTATTTTATTTTCACACCTATTTCTGTATATTATGTGGGAATAAGCACATTTAAGTCAAAATGTTGTTTATTATTTTGATTGTATCTTTTACAGTACTTAGTACAGCTTTACGTAAAAAGAGTAGTGTTGGGAAAGCTCGATCATGTAAAAACAAAATTCTTTTTTTTTTAAATACTCTAATAAAAAACACATTTGTGACAAAAAAGGGAATGGCAAAAACACAGCATGTAAAATGATCACCTCTCCTCATGCGCGCGGTCCATAACTGCCAGTTCCTTTTCAGACAGGTGGTGAATCATCGCCAAGCCAACGCAGTCTCCCAAAACATTGACGACGGTGTTGAGGCGGTCTCTGAAAGACATGAATCACAGTAAACTATGAAAGCAGAACCATACTATAATACTGTTTGATGTATTACCTCGTACTTATACAATTGACTATTAGAAGCAGAAAAACACAGCTGCAGTAATCCATGTCTGACTTTAATTAGAGATGGGGGAAGGACTCAGAGTTAATGTTACTCCAGGTGTAACTAAAGTGTTGAATATAATTCAAATCTTGAATCAAAATGTGCAAAGTAACTAAAGGTAAAAAAAGACATGCTGTGGAGTAAAAGCACACAATTTACCTCTGAATTATATTGGGATAGAAGTGCAAAATAGCAAAAAATGTAAATACTCCAAATACACTATTGTGGGTGGGATGATGTGTAGTGCAGCTCGTTGGAGAATAAAGTATGACTCATGATAAACTTACAGCAGCCATTCCACCACCATCAGCATGGAGGCTTCCCTCACCGGCAGGCCCACGGCGGACAGCACGAAGAGGGTGGTCACCGCTCCTTCGGCGGGGATCCCTGCCGCTCCGAGGCTGGACACGGCCGACATCACTCTGCAGGGCAAACACACACACAGAGATTTAAAGGGTTTATGACATGCTGTTGGGAAAATACTGAATGTACTCTTTCAATATCAGAGTAGCACATGATAACAAAGGCCCTACGTAGCTGTGTACATGACAGGATGTGAAGAGCATCAGGACTGTTTTAGGCATAATAGCTATGTGATTAACATGATGATTCAGCCTCTATGGAGATAGACATATGACAAGCATGATCATTTCTGACGTGGGTATTAGCTAATCTAATACTAAACATTGTATACTGCTTTGAACCGGTATTCCTCCATCTTGTGACTGATACACCCTCTCAAGCATGTGAAGGGCACTGTTCTGGGAACTATTTCTACCAAATGCTCTTAATGTGATGACTACTTCCATTCTTACAAGGATAATAAATACATGTATCCTGATATTGAAGCTCAAGCCGGTGACATGTGATATTTTTCTAACACATTCGCACACAGATTAGTAGGGTTTTTGATGATAAAAAAATGAAAACAGGAATCTTATCCCTTTCTCTGTTACCAACTTCCTGGTTTGTTTAAGGAGGCAGACCGTTTCCAAAATTGTAAGAGTGTGTTGAAGACTTGAGGGACTGTCATGGTTGACAGGTCTCATCAACGTTGCGTGGAAGTCGGAAACAGTACCGAAGGAGTGGCAGACCGGGGTGGTGGTTCCCCTTTTTAAAAAGGGGGATCAGAGGGTGTGTGCCAATTACAGAGGCATCACACTACTCAGCCTCCCCGGGAAAGTTTACTCTAAGGTACTCGAAAGGAGGGTCAGGCCGATTGTCGAACCTCAGATTGAGGAGGAACAATGCGGATTCCGTCCTGGTCGTGGAACGACGGATGAGCTTTTTACTCTCGCAAGGATCCTGGAGGGGGCCTGGGAGTACGCTTATCCGGTCTACAAGTGTTTTGTAGACTTGGAGAAGGCGTATGACCGAGTTCCCAGGGAGTTACTGTGGGAGGTGCTGCGGGAGTATGGGGTGAGGGGGTCTCTACTCAGGGCCATCCAATCTCTGTACTCCCAAAGCGAGAGCTGTGTCCGGGTCCTCGGCAGTAAGTCGGACCCATTTCCGGTGAGGGTTGGCCTCCGCCAGGGCTGCGCTTTGTCACCAATCCTGTTTGTAATATACATGGATCGGATTTCGAGGCGTAGTCATGGGGGAGGGGGTCTGCAGTTCGGTGGACTAAGGATGGCACCACTGCTTTTTGCAGAATATGTGGTTCTAATGGCTTCATCGGTCTGCGACCTTCAGCACTCACTGGATCGGTTCGCAACCGAGTGTGAAGCGGCTGGGATGAGGATCAGCACCTCCAAATCTGAGGCCATGGTTCTCAGCAGGAAACCGATGGACTGTCCACTTCAAGTAGGGAATGAGTCCTTACCCCAAGTGAAGGAGTTCAAGTATCTCGGGATCTTGTTCTCGAGTGAGGGAACAATGGAGCGTGAGATGGGCCGGAGAATCGGAGCAGCGGGAGCGGTACTGCAGTCGCTTTACCGCACCGTTGTGACGAAAAGGGAGCTGAGCCAGAAGGCAAAGCTCTCTGTCTTCCGGGCCATTTTCGTTCCTACCCTCACCTATGGTCATGAAGGATGGGTCATGACCGAAAGAACGAGATCGCGGATACAAGCGGCCGAGATGGGTTTTCTCCGCAGGGTGGCTGGTGTCTCCCTTAGGGATAAGGTGAGAAGTTCGGTCATCAGGGAGGGACTCGGAGTTGAGCCGCTCCTCCTTCGCGTCGAAAGGAGCCAGTTGAGATGGTTCGGGCACCTAGTTAGAATGCCACCTGGGCGCCTCCCTAGGGAGGTGTTCCAGGCACGTCCAGCTGGGAAGAGACCAAGGGGTAGACCTAGGACCAGGTGGAGGGATTATATCTCTTCGCTGGCCTCGGAGCGCCTTGGGATCCCCCAGTCAGAGCTGGTTGATGTCGCCAGGGAAAATAAAGTTTGGGGCTCTCTGCTGGAACTGCTGGAACTGCTACCCCCGCGACCCGACCACGGATAAGCGGGAGAAGATGGATGTTGAAGACTTTCCTTTTTCAATAAAGCCTATAGTTAGAGCTGGTTCGAGATACCCTTTGTTTGTCCTACTACATTTTATGGTATTTTATTTTATTATCTTTATTGTATTTGTACTGCCTTTTGATGTATTTTATGTCGTTTTATTTGAATTTATTTTATTTGTGTTTCACGTTCTATCATGTATTTCATAATTTTCTTGTAATTTTAATAATATTTTACACCGTCATCTATGTTTGTTAATCTGTAAAGCACACTGAGACAAACGTGTTTTGTGATATTGGGCTAAATAAATAAACTTTGATTTGAAACTTTATGTCCCAGGCTCCTGCAACAATTCAACACACATAAGCTTAAGACATAAAAGGAAATAAAGAAATAAAATGTAATAATCGCATTCTACATGAGGACGAAAAATTAAAGAAAAGAAAACTAAGTTTAATATTTCAAAATGAGTGACCCATTTGAACGTAGACTGGGCATCCCATATAACCTGGCTGAGCCAATATAAAATAATCAGCCAAATAACTTTTCAATACATTATTGATTACTATTTTTGAGGTACTTTTACTGTAGGTTGGCAGTAAACATAAGTCAGAGGTAAATGGTGTACTTTTACTCCACTACATGTATTTAATACCTTTAGTTACTTTACAGATGTGGATGAATGATGTGAAATATAGTCAAGTGTTGAATCAGACTTTAGTTCCACCTGGAGTAAATCCACAAGCTACCCTGCAGTATACAAAGTCATTCAAACTAGCTGCACCTTTACCAGCTTTGAGAACACTTTAATGATCAATCATTATAAAACATATCATATATATTATTCTGAAATGGACCAATCTGCACAATGACTACTTTTACTGTCGCGACTTCAACTATATTTTGATGATAACACTTTTCTACTTTTACTTGAGGAACATTTTGAATTCAGGACTTTTACTGTAACAGAGTATTCCTACACTCTGGTACTTCTACTTTTACTCAAGTACAAGATCTGAGTACTTCTACTTTTACTCAAGTACAACATCTGAGTACTTCTACTTTCACTACATTACATTACATGTTACTTGTTAGATGCTTTTATCCAAAGTGAAGTACATACTCAATACTGTGGGCAATTCCCACAGTATTTCTACTTTTACTCAAGTACAATATCTGAGTACTTATTCCACCTCTGGTAGCGTATTAGCCTGAATTGTAGCCACAAAATCACGCAGAGCTGTATAAAAATAGACTCACAAAGGTAACTAATATTTACAAATGTGTACAATGATTTGTAGGTAATGTTGACTACTCAAGACATCTGATTTATACATCTTCAAAGGAAGACTGTGTTCATTCTACAATTACATGGAATTAAAGCAAAATGTAGTTTTACTTGTATAATACTTCAAGATTTTATATAAAATCCTGTTTCAAAAAGTATCAACCATTGCGACGCGGTCAAATCCTCAGTTTATAATTTATAACAACATACTAACAAGCTAAGGTCTAATTACGCAACCAAGTCTCACCGCATTTTGTGTTATTGTCACGAAATAAATGTAATCTATTGATTAGTGTTCACCAACACGATTTTCCCCTTTTTTTTTCGTGTCACACAGAACGATTTTAAAAGCAATGTATTTATATTGGTAGTATGTTTCGTGCCTGCGTCTTTTTATCAGGTTGGGTCTTGGAAGACCGGAAGCTGTGGGGTTCATAAAAACATTTTCTTACTCAATATCAAGCCACGATTATTGTTTTTATTTTAAATCGTATAATGTCTGGCTTTTTTTGCCGTCTGTGAGGAAAATAAATGGGGCTCAGAATACTGAAATCTGTATATATTTGTTTCCTTCTAATTTGTTATTATTTGTGACCCGCTCTATCGAAATCAGTCAAAAGTCGCAATGGCTCAAAAATAAACGTGTACAGTATTTGTGTAAAATAACTAGTTTTTCAGGATTCGGGTGTTTTTATATAAACAAAGTCTTGGCTTTCAGAATATGAAACTGTTTTTGCCAAATCTCATGATAAATACATTTTTGAAGCTTGTAAAGGGAAAAAGAGGCACCTCTCAATTCGTACCCTGCTCTTCCGCAGCGCCGCTTCCCCTCCCTCCGCTGAAATTATTTATTAAGTAAAGGCGTATAGTAATCATAGATAACACGACAGGGTCCGGGACAGTTTGTTTTCATCTGTTTTCAAATAAACAAAGTATTGGCTTTCAGAATATTAAACTTGTTTCGGCAAATTCAGATGATAAATACAACTTTGAAGCTTGTAACTGTGACAGTTTACTTATTTAGGTTATTTGGGGTGCCAGTCAGGTCTCTCTCCTGACGTTTCAGATTTGGCTAGTCAGTCAGTTTTAGTAAGTCTGCACAAAGGTGTATACATTGAAGATTATTATCATCTGATATTTAAGAAGTGTGTTACATTTGAAATGGCAGAAAGTCTTGTTACAATTTCCAGATATTAAAAGAGGTCCCTTGAGTTTCTCTGGTAATTATCAATAGTAGCAGTTAAGTGAATACTGTTCAAACAATACTTGTGTTTGTGTTTTATATTGATTTCTCTGTTTTATCCTTTCATAAATGTAAGGACTAAAAATGGCTATAAACATTTTTGGGCAGGACAGGAGACTATGGGGGAGGGGAGCCAAGAGGGAAGTCTGAAGAATGTGTGTGTGTGTGGGGGCTGGTTTGCGGGTTCTCTGCTGGCACGCGCTGATTCGCTGCGACACAGCATCTTTTGCATCTCCCAATGAGATGACCTGAAAAGATGACCAGCTGACCCAACCCCTCCTGTTTTATTCTTGTATGAAAGCCTGTTCGGCCTTGTGTCCGGTCTCTTTCCTGCTGCCGTCAAGATGATAAGTTCTCCCGGGATTAGGACAAGAGCAGGGGGAGGGCTGACCCCTTTGAGAAGTGTATTGTATTATTACCGTTTATTATTAAAACAGATTATTGTTTAACCCTCGTCCTGGTTGTTTTGAGTTTTCCTTCTTTTAAAGCAAACTCATATAGGATCGGCGCGGAGAAGAGATAACTACTCCAACCACATCTCACTGTAAACACCCAACATTGAATGACATTATAAAATATAAGAAAGGACACAACTCAAAATCATAATCACAAATAGCAAGTGTATTTTTGAATACCCCCCCCAAACAATTTGTCTTCCCACAGTTCAATGTTAAATCCAAAATGTTCCACTTCGGGTTTTCTTCAAAATAAATAAAACAGTCAATTACCACGGGAGAATGTCACGGCCCGTCTACACTACAGGCATACAAAAATCTTGAAGCTGGGCGTGTCTGAAGCTTGGTGATTTTTTGCGAGCAACGCGACCAACAACCAATCACATGAATCTCCCGCCCCCGACATACAAAGCAATAGCAATGTTAAAACAAACTAAACTGGATATAAACTCCCCAAACAGGCGAAAACCTACCAGTTTCACCCACTGTCTCTCCCACCTCCCTCCATGCCTGGTTCCTCCGGTTTGTATCCCGGTAAATAGTTCTGGTCGGAAAGAACCGGGTGATTTGCTACCGTAATTTCTCGTTTGGAATATGAGGAAATGAACTGCGGGATTTGCATAAACGGGATTTGATTGGCTGATGTCAGCTTCGAAAGCATCGGGAGCATCAAAAGTTGAACATTGCTCAACTTTTGATGCTCACGATGCTTGCAAAGCCATGCTCCGCTCCCCACAATGCAGTTCGGCGAAGATTCAAAATCTTCTACGTCACCCCATTCAAGTGAATGGGCGAAGCGTTGAAAGCATTTTTCGATGCCTGTAGTGTAGACGGGCCGTCAGTCAGTTTTAGCAATCCAGTCAGTTTTGAAAATCCAGTCCTGGTTTTTAAGGTGGTTGGGAGATGAGCGGCTCCTTTCAGTTTTGTACACAATAATCCAGGAACGTGAAGCGACAGAAGGGTATGATGTAGGGATGCACGATATTGTTTTTTTTTAAACCGATACCGATAACTTCCTGCTTCTCAAGACCGATACCGATAACCGATAATAATAATATAATATATATATATATTAAATGTACCTGTAGTTTTTGCACACCTGGTGGTAAAAAAAAGACTAGTAGTGAGAAAATGACATGAGCATTACTACTATGAACAAAACTAACCCTGGGGTCGTCTCTGGCAAACTTCTTGCCTTTTTCAAAAGCCTCGTCGATAGGTAAAAGCCCCGGTGCCTTTGCAGCTGGCTTTGGATTCGCCGCTAGTTTAGCAGCGCAGGCGTCTTCGTACACTTTTAACACACCATCGTAGCGATGGCGATGTTTCAGGTGACTAATCAGGTTGGAAGTATTATAGCTCGTTGCCTTTTTCCCTCCTCGTGGAACTTCTGCATTGCATTTGTTAATACAAATAGCAAGCGAACTATCTAACTCTGAAACTTTGAAATAGTCCCATACTACCGACGACATGTTTGTTTACTGTCCTGGCTTCACGGCCGCACACCATTTAAGTCACAGCCAGGCATGAGTTAGGGAGCGCTGGATTTGTGAAAAACTCCCCTCTTCCTAAACCACTAATACCACAGTACTGGCAAAACGGGAGGAGCCGAGTAAAAAACAAGCGCCCCTCATCCCAATCCACCCACACCGCAGTATTTTTTTCTTTTTTTTACCCAAAAAATATATTGTATATTATCGGGGCTATTAATACTTTTATCGGGTTTATCGGGATGACGTCATAATTCCTAATATCGGACCAATAATTATCGGGCCGATAATTATCGTGCATGATGACGGATGACGGTGGACGGTGGACGGTGGATCAGACAAACGGTACGGACTTTAAACGACCTAACTGCTGGTTGCTAAACAGATGAGCGTGTTGCTCCGCCGATCCCTCTTGTTGCACACACCTTTTTCCTTCCGGCTCCGTCTAACTAAATAGGGGGAAAAGGAAATGGAGGCGCCAACCAACAGCGAATCACTGGATGGGTGGGCGTTACCGTGAGTGACTACCGGTCACATAAACACCGGTTGTTACAAGCGGAGAATGGTGTAATTTAACGACACAGCAGGCATAACAATAGCCGGTGTTTCTTGTGAGTGTTTCCCCGATACACAAACACAATACACACAAACACTCGCGAGCTTCCCCCAGACCAGTAATACAAACAAAAATGTGTCTTCGGGTCAATGTGACTGATTTCGATAGAGCAAGTCACATTTGGTTTAGGCACGAAACATACTACCAGTAGAAACACATTGCTTTTAAAATCGCTTTGTGTCGAATCAATAGATTATATTTCGTGACTATAACACGAAATGCCGTGAGACTGGGTTGAATTACAACAGTGAGTGCTTCATCCTCTGAACACCAGAGGATGGCGACTGTAACGCACATAACATAGGTGCGCTCCTCTGAAATGATTGTCCCCTGCAATTATTATTATCCCTCATCGAGTTCGCTATTCAGCTTGCTAACGTTAGCTTAACCCTTCTCTTGCGTTTCGGGTCAAAAGTGACCGAATGACTTTTATTTTAATCATAAATATTGTGTTTTTCATCCAATTTCCTCAATACCATATATTATCCTCCACACTAGGCCTCTAAACATATACACTTGATGATCACCACTTGCATTGAATTTTGAGTGATTTATTCAACAGTGAAACACCCTTGACGTTTTCGGTAAGATTTGACCGCCATAGAAAATGAATGGGTATGAGTGTATTATGTTCATCCTGCAGATGGAAAACGTCTATATATACACACACACGTTACGGGAACTTCTCCCTTTCTCGCGCTGTATAATACAATCAATGTATTCTCACAGGTGCGCTCTGTGCCCCTCAAGAAACACAAACCTCTCACTTTCTTGCGCTAAATGCGCCTCCCTTACTGGCTCTCAAGCAGTTATATTTGTGCCTTTCTCACATTTGGGCTCTGGACACATTTTTGAACCAGATGAAGAGGAGATTGAACAAGATGAAGAGGAGATAGAGGAAGATGTCTCAGTCTGGATCGCTGTTGTCTTCCATTTCTATGAGCCTACAACAGACCAGGAAAAGGCACCTGAGGGAGAGGCCCTTGACTGAGGGAGAGGCCCCTGAGGGAGAGGAGCCTGAGGTGACATTCCACAATTTTGCATTGCCAACTATGTGCGTGAACACACGTGAACACACACGTTCTGTTATGGTATATTTCTCTTTCAATAAATGTTCATTGAGGAAAACAGTATCAGTGTCTTATGTTATATTCATCACGGTGAATGCTGAATTTGATGGGCCCACCGGTGGGTCCAGACCATGACATGAAACACTGGCTTGCTTGTATCAAATCAATACATCCCATACATCATTGGAACGGGAATAATCTCAGCTACAACACTAACTAAATCATTTCCATCTCCAGTAAACACAGCCGACATGGCAAGCAATTTTATAATATACAGTAATGTAAAATAAGCACTATCTTTGAACTTACTGCCAAAAATAGTATGAAATTCACCCCTGGTGTCTGTCATCCCTTGATTCTACTTGATTTGACTGTTCAAATGAGATGTCAACCATCAAAATTGGATAAGGGGTTCCAGAGATGAGATATCACTGTGCAAAACACACCGGTCAATTTTGACCGAAAATAGCATGGGGGGTATGCCCTAACGCAAGAGAAGGGACAAACGTAACATGCACCGGTCCGTTAGCCTAATCTAAAATGCTCTACGGCGTACCTTTCATGTGGCTTGTCAGCGCAGACTCTCCCATCGTTATTTTTTGCACACTTTGCAGGAGGCTACTCGTGGGCTTGATCCTCGTCTTAGCCATGGCTTGTCTTCTGCTAGCCAACGCTCGTTGAAACTGCAACCTCCTGGCATACTACTGTCATCTATCACTCTCATCAGAATGCCCAGGTCACACGTAACAAAAACCCTTGCCGGTCACGCGCATGGCGCGGGAAGGCCGGAGCAGAGCTGTTTTATGTAAAAGCAAAGCAATTAAGCCTGTTCCGACTTTTTTCTTTTTCTTTTAATCTAAAACGCGAAGTAAAGCATGTACAATTTCAAGCACTTTATCCCAAATTCAAGCACCATTCCCAAAATTCTAAAACTTTTCAAACCTTCAAAACAGCTCGTACAATTTCAAGCATTTTCAAGGATTTCCAGCACCCGTACGAACGCTGTATCTGAAATAAATATGTGTACTGAAACAAATACCAATAACTCTATTGCATTGGTTTTTTATCCACAATTACTTCATACTGTCTTTGCCTTTTTCGTCCTGCATTTATTGTGCCCCCCTCAGAAAATAACTGGCCCCAGCCTGGCCCCCCGAGTCAAATTGGTCTAGAACCGCCACTGCCTTTTTATATCCTGCTTTTTTACACATACTCTCTCCAGTACAGGTTAGCTCTGAGTGTTAGCGATGCTTGCTAATGTAAACAAAGACCATATTATGTCCAAAACACGTCGGGCATTGTTTCTGATAGCAACGTTTCTGATAGGGCCGTGGCCGTAAAGCCAGCCCACATTTCCGATATGTAGATGAAGATAAACCTTTATTAAGATATTACGTCATATCGGCAGCAAATCTGTACCCTCATTTTTAGAGATTTGGGTATGGAGGAAAAGAGAGAAGGTTTTGTTTTCTGACACTTTGTGAGTTCCCTGACACACAGGGGACACATATGGTATGTATAAAAGACATCAACAAGTGCATTTTGCATGATAGGAGACCTTTAAACTACCTTGATAGTTTTGTGATTTTATAGTATACTTACATTTCGATTTTTGGACTATTTATTGTAATAGGGTATTTTTTTATTGTAATGAGTACTTATTCCAACACAGCATGGAATTACAATCCTCTTTTGCAGCTTTGAAAATAAATGCTAAAATAATGACTGGTGAGGATCACAGAGGTATGAATGTCCTGTTACCTGGAGGAGATGAGCAACGCGGTCAGTAAGGATGTTGAAACCCCGCGGTAGACCTGAAAGGGGTTCCGCCTCACAGCCAGGAAATAAATCGTCGGCAGGACAATGAAGGCCTGGAGGACGAGGCTGAAACACACAAGTGCACAATGTGCACATTGAACACAAACACCATGTCACCATGTACGGGGATCGACGATAACCCTGACATTTCAAAAAGGAAAGATTGATATCATGTTAAGAAAGCACACGTGATAATAACATTGATATCATGCTAATACAAACATATCATCCAATAAAAATCCAATATTGATATAATGTTGATAAAAGACACATGACGATAACATATAAAAAAATACAATATTATTATCATGTTTATAATAGTCACATGATAACAACAGGTTAATAAATTACAATATTGTTAAAATGGTAATGAAACACTAATACAATTGATAACATTGTAGTAAAACACACTTGATAATAACATGTAAAACGATACAGTGCCTCTTAAATCCTTGGCCACACGAAATCATGGTTAAAGATGCTCTAGTTTATTAGTAATTGTTTGCCAAAAAAGAGACAAAAAGCACACTAAACTGTTTTTTTAATATAGACTGACTATGTTGTCATTTATTGTCTTACATTATTTTGCACATTGCTTATTTTGTGAGTAACACTTGTTTTTTATTTAGTTTTCTAATGTTTATTTAGTGGGGTAACTTCAATTGATGAGAATGAAGAATAGGCAAAGATAACCCATAATCCTTCTGCTTGTGCCTTTTCAGTCATTATTTACACTGGCACTGTTTATTCTGTTGCATGTGTTGACTGACTACAAAGATTATTGAAAAAATAATATATATATATACCCAATAAGAACTATAGCCATGAACATTCCCAGTTTGCGGGTGGTTTCCCAGTCACGAGCCTCGACAACATTGCTCGCAATCATAAAGAGCACTCCAAATGGCAGGTACCTGGAGGAAATACAAGAAATACAATTAAAGGAGCGGAATACTTCAATACATTGTGTCTTGTGTATTTTATTCGGGTAGAGGGAAGAACAACTTTGAGATTTTGGGCTATTTTGTTTCAATACCAAATCTTCTTTTAGATGACATGAAAGAAAAACACACAGAATACACATTTAGGTGTTTATTTGACTAACTTTGTCTATTTGCATCTGTAAAAATCATAGTGTCTTGAAAAATGTAGGAATTCTATAATACATATCTTTAAATGCCACTTTCTCAAAATGATTTGTTTTTCTCATTCTCCAAGCCAAAAATCTCTACATCAGACGCAAACACCAACCTTTCCAGTTTCATTCATATCTTAATTTGTATATTTATTTCACAGCTGTATTCTCTGATTTAATGTGTAATAATGTGTATTGCCCTTAAATGAAATATTTTACTGAACCTGGCTTTATCCAAAATTCTTATTTCTGTTCTGGAAATCTATGCAAACGCATATTTAAGATAATGCCTGATTTTCAAAACATTTCTAAAAGGGTGGTATACAAAAAAATATTAATCTGTAGGGTTTAGGGCTAGGTGCATTCACAAATATGCAGATAGACGGGAAATCGGCCCAGGAATTGAATCAGGGAACCAAAACAAAACTGGGACAAAAATCTGTGTTTATAAATCTACAAACTACAGACGGTCTATGGCACGGCGAATTAATTTGCTGCTATATTTTTGTCTGTATGATGTTATTGTGAGTGTGGACTGAGCAGCTACGATGGTAGCTTAGCCAGAAAATGATGCCGCGGTCAAACATGCGCGGGTAAAGTGATGTGAATCTTAGCTTTTAGGGTTAGGATTAGTTAGGGAGTGTGCTGCTTCACTTTACCACAAGACCATGTTGACAATGTATTTGGTGGTTGCTTGGAGAATGGTGAAGAACTCCACTAAGATCTTTCCTTTCTCCCCCATCTTGTTCAGGGTCACTCCGAGGAAGAAGGAGCATGTGATCAGGCCCAGCGTGTTCACTCCTTCCACATAGTGACCTTCCAGCCGAACCATTGTAGTGTTCTGAAACAAGAAGTGGTAAAACAGCAAAAGAAACTGTGTATATCATCCAAAATAATCTTTACAGTGTTGAGGGAAAACAATATACCGTTTGCACGCTAGAGTTCGGCTCCATTGTGTGAACTACAAACTGCAGCTTCTTGGTCTTGTACTGAGAAAAGAAAAGAAAATGTTACACTTTACAGGAAAGCCAAGAAATGGATGGCGTATTATATCTGAAAGAAAAAAGAAACACACCTGCTCGTAGCAAGCCTGGATGATACTCTTTGGCAACAGGTTTCTAGAAATAAAAAAGGAATAATCAATGTTTTGTGCATATTCCTGCTTGTACCACTTAATTAACCAGCTGATAAATTAATGATTTGGGACTCCCTATGGTGTCAATAATGATAGTACTTTTTATGTACTTACATTTCTCCTTTTTTTTCACAATCTCTTACCTATGCTCACAGCAATGATTGTCGTCCCGACAAAGTACACGGCCGCATGCAGAGCGATCTGACCGGAGACGTGAACACTCAGGCCAGACACTCCTGGGGAAAAATAATTCATTTAAAACATTATAGAATGCAAATTGGGTTTATTGCAAAGTCGTTACAAGGAATTTACTTTGGTGTATAAAGGTACAGTAATTAGTATTTCTTTTTAAAAAACTAAAAAAGATAAAAAAATTCTAAAAACTATATTTTATATATATTAATTGTACATTCTGTTCTTGTATATATCATATTCTATTTACTAGTATATAGACTTATTGCACTATTTTTTATTTGTATTTTATTTAATGCTGTCAAAATTATCGCGTTAACGGCGGTAATTAATTTTTTGAATTAATTGCGTTAAAATATTTAACGCATTTAACGCATGTGCAGCATGGCCCGTCCCATACATCCCACCAGTGGCAGCGCCAGGGTATGGCTGGGGTAGGCTACACCCATACCAAGAAATGGCTTAGCCCCACCATGAAAAATGATGTTAAAGTAAGCAAAATAAAGTCTGCCAACTCGCGCGGAGTAAATTGCACAGACAGCAGTTAGTAAGATTGATTTCAGTAGCCACTTGTCTGGAAATACCGAAGACCAGAAACGGTTTTGAAAACTTTTGTCACGTAGTGATCGTCTTCTCAATAGAACATCTTTGATAATGTCTTCTGGCCAATCAGAATCAAGATAACGGCTTGCTGTTGTTGCAGGAAGTCCCGACGGAGAATACTTTTGCTGTAGTAGGGGTGCACACAGGGCCGCCCCTCCTACAGGCCAATCACGCAGGCTGCATGGGGCCCCGCCTTGCGCAGGGGGCCCCGCCCAGAGGGCCTCAGCTGCTGTGCGCAGTTCTCCGCGCACCCCCTGCTGACACGCGAGAGTGAGAGGTGACAAACGGAGCACGTCTGTAACCCGACACCGTTGCAATGAATCGACATCTGACCAATCACGGCTTTGATACGGCCACTAGTGCAGGTGAAGAGATGTCGGTGAAAAGACAGTTTCAGTCCGGCACAAAAAACAAAACATGAAGAAACTAGAGCATCACTCTCTCGAAGGTGGGTTATTGTATGAGTCAAATGTACAACTTGCGAATGTTGTATAAGTCAAATTGCCAATTGCCATGAAACATCAGCTGCAATTCACGACATGAAGAAGGCAGTCTCTGCATAGCATATAGGCTAATGGAGATGCAGTTATTTCCAGCATTCTTTATTTACCATTCATTCAAGTATGTGATGCCTTTTATCTGCTAATGTACAGGAGGAAGAGTGATACACTGTCTGCAGTGGCGGCTGGTGGAACATATTTTTGGTGGGGCTGTTGATATAGTGAGTAAAAAAAATTGTTTTGGGAGAAATGACCCCTTAAATTAGGACTTCTGGTGATGTAATGGCACGTTTCCAGTGCAGCGCGGAGCTCGCTTTAAGTGTGCCGAGCCGTGCGGGGCCCGTTTTTGGTTGCATTTCCACTTGGCCTAGTACTGGCTAGCGGGTCCTAATTCACAGTTTTTCTGGCCCCATAAAATCGTGGTTCTAGGGCTAGGAACAACCAGGCTGAGTCGGGCTGAGTATGCTAAACTAGAGAGATAATCGCTGGCAAGGGGGCTACAACTACAACCAGATGAACATATTTTACCGTGATTTAATTGTAATACACGTTTCAAAATGATGCCGAATTAACAACATACTGATACCGGTTAGTAAAAACCATGAATTAACGCTTTGACAAGTCTGCAGACAGACGGCAGGCGAAAAACCCTTTTAAAATGCGTGTTTTCTAAATGGAGCTTGGCTAAGCTAACGCAGTATATGCTCCGAATGTCCACACTCACAACAACGGCCTATCCAGACATAAATAAACCAGCGACTGTATTCTCCATGACACAGACAGTCTGTGGTTTGTACTTGTTTAACTTTTGTCTAGTTTCTGAACAGATCGTATCTGTCCCCGGCTGTTTGAAGAGCAAGCATGGGAAACAAAAGACAGCATTTACCTGTTTGCATCCAGCTAACCATGCCTTTCTGGTGTACCAGCTACGTGAGAAGCCTCGTTGATACGTTTTGTCTTTTTCACGAGCTTGCTGCGATATATACAAATCGGGTTGGTCCGGTCCAAGGTCTTTAAGCAACAGTTTATCTCCCAAACTTCTCCTTTCGAAAGGATTGGAGATTAGCTCTTGAACGGAATTGGGCGGGGACTCCACCTGCACATGAAGCCATCCTCATCAACTACTGCCGTACTGCGTCACCCCACCGGATAAGAGTCACTAGTGTCCAAACTACTCACAGACTGGACCGGGCGCTGACATTGGCGCCCGGTGATCATCAGATTTGACGACGCTGATTGGCTGAAATTATATTTCAGCATCATAGTTTACAGATAGCAACAGTCAGCTGCTAGTGGCTGCTGCTGCACTGGTTGAGGGCTCCTTTCTTACCGCCCAGACGAGAGAGGGTAATGACCATAGAGACTGTATATATAAAGTAGGGCCGGGACTCGATTAAAAAAATTAATCTAATTAATTAGAGGCTTTGTAATTAATTAATCGAAATTAATCGCATTTTTAAATCACATATAAATATTTGACCTGAGAACAGTGAGAAGCAATTTTTTTCACATGGATTTTAGTATACCATTAGGCGCATTCACAACGCAGTACTTTTCCCACAAAGGTTCATGAGAACTCTTTGAACCTGGGGGAGGATTAGGCAAATGAAGCCGCTGACGTCACTTCTTCTTCTTCTGCTTTGGGTTTACTGGCAGGCCGCAAACCACTTCACGGCGTATACTGCCGCCCAAAGTCCCCGGCCGGAAGTCCCCGGAGTTGGGGACTGGCTTCAGTAGAAGCTGCTGGGACTCCCAGCAGCCTTCCGAGTAAATCGCCAGAACGCCGACACCTCCTCATCTCCACCGCTCCCATGTTTTATTTTGTGTTGCCATAAGTTAGTCTCTCTGCATTTCTGCGCTGGGCTAATGCTAATAATGCTAATGCGAGGATAATAAAATGGAGGCTTCACAAAACTTTTTGGGAGTTTTACGGGGCGTGGTTTGCAATCCGCCCAGCCAATCAGAAATATAGCTCTTTTCTCACAAGAGAGCCGTACGAAAGTCCCTGCTCTCTAGCAGGGACTTTCGTGAGGGTAAAAAGGTTCTCATGAACTAATTTTAGTACCGGCTCTTTTTGGTGTGAACGCGATAAAAGAGGCTAACGTCCACGCTAGCTTCCACGCTAGCTGCTATATGTTTAGCATTGAGGTGATACTTGAGGCTTGATGTGCTGCGGTGATATGCGAATTCCTTTTTGCATAATTTGCACACAACCGTGCTCTTATCGACGCTTCCATCCGTCCGTTTTTTTTAAAACAACATTTCCCACTGTTGTTCACTGTGGTTTGTTGTTGTCTGAAGTCATGAACGTTAGTTGGTGCTCCAGTATAATCGGTACGCCTGAAACTCATCCAGTGAGAAACGTTCCGCGGTGCAAAAATAAGTGCGATTAAAATGCGTTAATTTTTTTAACGCGTTAATTTTTGTGTGATTAATTAATCTTAATTAACGCATTAAAGTCCCGGCCCTAATATAAAGGTAATGACACATGGGCAAGGCCAGGCAGGAAACATGTGACTTATCAGTAACTTTAGACATCGTCGTAACACAATTTTAAACGAGATTTTATTGTAGATTATACATTTTACTGATACCAATTATATAATATTTACCTTGTTTATTAAAAATTTAAATAAAATTAAAAAAAAATGTTTTTAAATATATATTTTTGTATGTGGGAAGAGGTGGGGCGGCGCCCCTAGCGCCCCTATGAGCCGGCCGCCACTGACTGTCTTTCTAGTTGGCTTACATAACAGTTCAAGTTTACAGCCTAAAAAACGGAGCATTGTTTCCCCTTTTATTAATTTGTATGTCAATTTGCACATTTCATGGTGATGCTCAGCCTCTCCCCTTAACTCCTAACAGTCATCATCATGTCAACCACAACACAGAGAAATACTGATATAAATGTGTGTGTGGTTGTTGATACATTGCTGACAGAGGGAACTACCTATCATAACTATCTAACTAACTAGTTATATCATCTCACAATGTCGCTTGGGGCCCCAAGTTGGCCAGGGTGCACATAACTGGTACGCAGGTGATGTGCGTAATCTGAAATGCGTACCGTCACTTATGTCACAAAGCGCATTTGCGTACCGACGTACTTGTGAAGCTTTTCCAGAAGGCGGTTAGATCACCGGACGACAGAGTCGGTCTCCGTGTGCACAGACAGGGCTGCTGTTAACGTCGGTCTGGACAACGGAATTGTGCCAAAACTACGCCAACCGGCTGCGGAGGGAGACTCCCCCCCTTCACTGGAGAACTGCGCTAAAACAGCTGATCACAACGTTCACACTCTGTGGTCACGAAGTACTCCACTAGCCACCCCCCCCCCAGTCGACTTTCCTGAAGTACTCCCCCGTTGATAGAAATCAACACATAATGAATTAAGACCCCACAGTTTGATGATTGATAGTAGTGTGGTCTGTCTTTCATTTTGACACGCAGACAAATGTTATAATAAACATAGATACTGTATGTTAAATGGATATATCCGCCTTCTTTCATTTATCTTTCCATTCCCACAACAATATACATAAAGAAATGGCATATTTTGGACATAGTTCGAATGGTGATTAATCATGATTAATACATTTTTAAGCTGTGATTAATCTGATTAAAAAATGTAATCGTTTGACAGCCCTAATTGTATTATATACGTATGCATCGTTGGAGGAGCTCGGGTCAGAATAATTCCATTGCCATTTCTACACTGGAGCTTATGTTCATATGACATTAAAACCTTTGAATCTTTGAATCTTGAATCATCCTCACCTGAAATGACGCTGGTCACGATGAGAGGAACCGCCACCAGCTGCAGCATCCTCATGAGGACGTTTCCTGGAAAGGCGATGTACAGTTTGTCCATGTCTGTCAGTTCCACGTAGTAATCCATTATATAGCCAAATGCAATCCCTGTGGGAAAATAACACAATGACAACACACATGAAAACCAAACTTAAAAGGTTTTAAATCTTACATTAATTTCACCAAGATACAAGGGATGAAATTGTTTAATCATAACTGGGTGTTTACGGTTTTTTTATTTTTTTATTTGGTTTGTTATTTTATCTTTTCTTGATTACCATTTACCTCTTTTATGTATCTGTTTATTTATTTGTTGTTTTATGTTTTTGTTTTGAAAATCAATTTGAGGAAACGTGGAAAAAAGTAAACAATACATATTCCAGGGATGACCATCCTTTGTTTAATTGAGCTCCCGTACACCAGGAGTGGAGTGCACCAGCTGGGCGTAAAAAAGTAGGGCTTAACTCTAACGTCGGGCTTAGCTACGTCCGACGTAGTGATTCGAATTTACACTGAGTGCACCAAGCCTGACTAGTCTCGGGCGTAGCTGCGCCTGGTCTTAACCTCTTAAGCCCCACGGACCCGAGCTCGGGTCCGAAAATGCTATATATGTAGCAACAGTGCTATATCTGAAGTGTCATTCATGAAACTATTAATATTCCATACCCATCTGACCGGAGGAAACTTGGCTAACTGACGATACGAAAAAAATAAAAGATAAACATCTAAATGGGAAAGTGGTTTGAAATAATAACAGATAAGTCACATGCCAGCAATATATGTCAATGATTTAAGTTTACTTCCTGAATGAAAAGAGAACTATAATATTAGACAAATATGAAGAAGTTACACTTTAAACATCCGTGACATAAACACTTTATCCAGAATAAAAGCAACATAGTTGCACCTGCAAGGTGAATACAAAAAAGCTGGTAAAAAAAAAAGTGTTTGAATGCGTACATTAACAGGTTTATGATATCACTGCCCCGTCTAAAGGCCCGGTAACACCAAGCCGATTTCGGCCGTCGATAGATGTCTGGGAGTCGATGAGCGTCCTGTCGCCCTACTCAGATTGGTGTGTCCCGCAACGTTGTGTCTTTTCGGCCGTTCCAACACCTTCAACATGTCGAATCGGGGAGCTGTCGGCAAAATAAATCACTCTGATTGGCTGCTCAGCTGCCTGTCAGTGTTATGATGTTGTATATTCATATAATCTTGGATTAAAGCTGTCCATAACCTTGCCCCCATCTACATCTCTGACCTCCTTCAGGATTACACCCCCTCCCGCACCCTTCGTCCGTAGGACTTCTCACCGTCCCAAGCTATCGCCTCAAAACCACGGGTGCTCGAGCTTTCAGCTGCTCGGCTCCCAGACTCTGGAACACCCTGCCACTACACATCCGACAGTCTGATTCCATAACAACATTCAAAACCCAACTCAAAACCCACCTGTTCAAACAGGGTACATATTATAAAGAAAATGCCTGTGTCCTTTTGTAGTCAATTTCCTGTTGTTTGTCTTGTCTTACCCCGGCTGATACTTCACTAAATCCACTGTTTTAATGTGTAAGGTAAAATTGTAAATCTGTAACCCTGTAAGGTGTCCTTGGGTGTTATGAAAGGCGCCCCCCAAAATAAATGTATTATTATTATTATTATAATTACTGATGCATGGAATGTGGTAGCCAAAACCTTTCTTACAAAACAAAGCAAATGTTCCGGGCCAAATATTATTGCTGGCGGGCCGCCTGTTGCCGACCCATGCTGTATAGGGTGCTGTGTGGGTCACTCAAGCATCCCTTTCTCTCTGCCAATCACAGAGCTGCACAGTATTGCTGGTCGGTGTGTGGGCCTGTGGTTGGGGGAGCAGAGGGAGGAGGGCTGGAGAGTGTGTGACGTTGACCCTGCTGTGTTTTGTGTGAGTTAGGCCCAATCCCAAACCACACCCTACCCTTACACACTCCCCCTCCGTGACGGAGTGACACTCGCAGCTCAATGAGGTTCCCTCCTGTCAGATGGAGGGAGTAAATACAGCGGCAAGCTTTGGGACAAACTCCCCTCTCTCCGGCAGAAACAGGAAATGCCAAATATCTTCTGTCTATGACAGAATTATTTTAACAATGACGGAAAAATCTGAAAGCCATCCGTCATGTTGACAGATTAGAACAAACTCAGAACAGCGCCAAAGTTTCCCCGCAGCGGGGCTCCGGTATTATGCCGTGTTATGCATGCCCGCCCAAAAGGAAGTTATATCGTTTCCAAACCTAACTTTGGCAAACAGATCAACAAAAGTATTTGCTTTACGCTGTGCGTGCTCCCGCGAGGTGCTGTGGGCATGCATAACACAGTGCTAACAGTTCACGAGAGCGTCCACCCCCCCCGTTGACAGTTCACGAGCGTGCTGTCTGGTATTCCCGGTCAGCAGTGCTTGGTTTACCTGGATGACATTCTGGTGCATGGCAGCTCGTTTGAGGCGGCCCTGGGATCTCTACGAGTGGTGCTGGAAAGGATCAGAGCCGCTGGCTTGAAGCTACACCCAGAGAAGTGCCATTTCATGCAGAGAGGTCACTTTTCTGGGCCACAAAGTGGGCGGCGAAGGCATCGGCAGCCTGCAAGAGAAAGTGCAGGCGGTCGCAGACTGGCCTAATCCTCTCAACCAGAAGCAGCTGAAGAGTTTCCTGGGCCTGGCCTCGTACTACAGGAAGTTTGTATGGGGTTTCGCTTGCACTGCTGCACCCCTGTTCCAGCTGCTACAGAAGGACAGTGATTTTGTTTGGACTGAGCAATGTCAAGCAGCGTTTGACAGCCTTCGGCGTTCCTTGAGTGAGGCCCCGGTTCTCGCCCCAGCCAACCCCATTCTGCCATTCACCCTGGACACAGACGCTAGTGGCGTGGGTGTAGGAGGAGTGCTCTCCCAGACTACACCAGAAGGGGAGCGGGTGGTGGCGTACTTCAGCCGGGCGTTCAACAAAGCAGAGCGACGATACCAGATCACTCGCAGGGAACTCTTGGCAGTGGTGCTGTCCATCAGGCACTTTAAATACTACCTGTGTGGCCAGGTGTTTATGGTGAGGACTGATCACTCTGCACTACAGTGGCTTATGACATTCAAGGAGCCAGAAGGGCAGGTCGCCAGGTGGTTAGAAGAGCTCCAAGCTTTCGACTTCAAGGTGGAGCACCGGGCTGGGGTGCGTCACACCAATGCAGACGCTCTCTCCCGCCGCCCGTGTGCCGCTGACGGATGCCATTACTGTGAAAGGAGAGACCCGTGAAAAGGAGTTGTTGGAGGAGGACACCGTCTGAGCTGCAGCTCGACAAGTTGAAGAGGTTATTTGCCTGGAGCTCCAGACAGTGGACGTGGCAGAGTGGAAGCAACAGCAAGAGCTGGAGACAGACCTACAGCCTGTACTGCAGTGGGTCGAGGCGCAGCAGCGGCCACCGTGGGAGGAAGTGGCAGTGTTCTCCAAAGCAACCAAGGGGCTGTGGTCGCAGTTTGAAGCTCTGCGCCTGTGTCAGGGCGTACTGCAGCGTGCGTGGAAGGAGCCAGCAACGGGGGAGAAGAAATGGCAGGTGGTGGTCCCGAAGCCTGCATGAGGCTGTACTCAAGGCCATGCATGGAACGGCAGGCTCTGGGCATTTTGGCGTCACTAAGACTCTCCGACGCCTTCGCCAGGGTTGCTACTGGGGGCAGTGCCGGAGGGATGTTGAAGACTACTGTCGCCACTGTGACCCTTGTATGGCTCGTAAGGGCCCCCCTGGTCGTTCCCATGCTCGTGGGGGTCCCGATGGAGAGAGTAGCAGTTGATGTGGTGGGGCCGCTACCTCTGTCAAACAGGGGTAACCACTACGTCCTCACCGCCATAGACTATTTCACAAAATGGCCAGAGGCGTATGCCCTCCCTGATCAGGGAGCAGTGACAGTCGCAGATGCCCTGGTGGCGGTCATGTGCAGCCGGTTTGGAGTGCCGTAGTCCCTGCATAGTGACCAGGGGAGGAACATCGAGTCCCGGGTGTTCGCCTCCATGTGTCCACAACTGGGCATGCACAAAACTCGCACCTCCCCCTTGCGGCCTCAGAGCGACAGACTAGTCGAGAGATTTCATCGCACCATGGGCCAGCAGCTGGCCATCCTCACGTCTCAGCACCAGCGTGACTGGGGCATTCATCTGCCCCTGGTGCTCATGGCATGTCGCTCTGCAGTCCAGGAGTCCTCAGCCTGTTCTCCTGCCCTCCTCATGTTAGGGAGAGAGCTTCTTACCGCTGCCGTTTTTGCGTTTGGTCAGCCGCCGGATTCCCTTGACACTCCTCCAGGGCCTGAGTACGCCAGGAGACTTCAGGACCGCCTTGATTCAGCTCACGCCTTGGCCCGTGATCAGCAGAAAAGTGCTGGTGTGAGACAGAAACGCAACTATGATACAAGGAAACGAGGGCAGCACTTCAGGGCCGGGGAGCTGGTCTGGGTCTACAGCCCACAACGGAAAAAACAACACGTTCTCACTCCCAACCCGTCACATGTTGATGGTCGGTCAGGGCGGACAGGGTACCCCTTGAGAGTCAGTTTTCAACGGGCAGGGCATCCCATAGACCTTCATAGACCTCCCATAGCGTTGATAATAGACGACATGAGAACGCTCCCCGACGGTCGGTTGTTACTGTCAATATTAATATAATAATTATTTATTTTGTAATAGTCACACTCGATTTCGCCGATTTTCTTGTTGCCCCAGCTGGTTGACACCTATTTCAGGAGAAACAAAGGCTACATTAATGTATTAAATCGATGTTAATCCATTTGTGTGGTTGTGGAATTAATGGACAAGCAACGCAATAATTTACAAACTCAACCCTAATTATATTTTAAAACATTTTAGAAGGCCTCACAAAATACTTTAATGTAAATTAAAATTTAAATGTGAAGGGAGCCTATACTACGAATCTAGTTCAACATATCCTGGATATGTTTTGAGTTATCCGGTTGACTTAATCCAAAACAAACCCGCTCTCGCTAAATTGTCCTACGACGCTGGCTATACACTTGATCGCTCAAGCCAGCCGTGTCTTATCTAGTGCGCGTTCACATAAAAGGGGTGGTATTTGG